TAGGCTTTCTTCCAAGCCTTGCATTAAAATGTCTCTGTGTATAATAATGTGAATCCAGTAATTTACGGGTAATTCCTTCTTTTGATGAGGGAATTCATTTCCTCATTGGGTGGAGTACTGACAGAGACACTGTGTGTCTAAAAACAGACATGCAGGCCTGCAGGAATCCTCAGAGAGCACAGATCCGTGTCTTAAAAGTATGTGGTTTACAGTTAGCAACAATGGTTGTCTATTAGGCAAGATGTATTTTTATTATCCACTCGCTGACCCTGAATAGTAAAAATATTAACTTGAGATTTCTCCATGCAGCCTCTTCACAGCCAACAACCTGGAATCTATAAATGAGGATGCATTCATTGGTCTTCCTCACCTAGAATATCTGTGAGTAGTTGGTACAAAATTATCCTTCAAGTTGGTTTTTTGTTTTTTTGTTTTTGATTTTGTGATTGTTTTGTTGCATTTGCCTGACATTATCTCCCGTCTCCTGCATTTTATCCAACAACTTTTCAGATTCATTGAAAACAACCAAATCAATTCGATATCAGCGCATGCTTTTCGTGGACTGAAAACCTTAGTACACCTGTAAGTACTTTTTCTTTTTTTACTAGAGGTATTAAAGAAACAAACACTACAGTTGCATGGGGATTTAATTTTGTGACCTATTTAATTTAAAAATCTAATCACTGGTGACCTGCTTTAAGAGGGAGAACAAGAGAAGCTTTCTCTCATTTGCATCAGACATTGTAATCTATGTGCAGGTGCAGACAAGCACTGTTCCAGTAAAACGCTGACAGTTTTTATTGCGCAACTTGTATTGCCACATAGACACTTCTCCCAACATTGTGCAGCTGTTATGAATATGATTACGAAGCAAATCCCGCCACCGTCAATGTCCACTGTAAATGAAAGTATAATATTCTTTCATTACAGATTTGTGAAAGTACATTATAAGTAAAAACGCTCTGAGATTTTCTTTTATTGATGCAATAATATTTAAGATAAGGCTCCAAAGAAACTTATAAAATACTACCCAAGTCTTCTCAACAGGAAAAAGCCTTTTTTCCACCGTCTTCATTGTAGCAGAGAAAGCCATAAAATGGCTGAGGAGGCAGTGCTAAAAATAGCTTAATGTTTCCTCAAACCCACAATAAGCAATGTTCCTGCTGTACTCTCCAGGGTGGCAATATGTCCCCCAAGCTTCTTAACAGATATCTGTGTACATACAGAAATACTGCATAAACAGATTATTATTTAATAGTTTGAGATGGTGTGGCTATGGGGAGGGGGG